CCCCCCCCCCCCCCCCCCCCCTCTTCCGGAGGGGAGAGGGGGGTAATGTAAAACACAGAATCCAGTTGGTCTCGCCTTATGATAAAATCGACCAAGAGAAGGCTGAGGGATCTAGTGATATATTTGAAGAAGGGGAAGAATCAGAGAATGAAATAAATTTCACTAGTTTCATATTAGAGAAACCAACAACTTGGCTCCCAGAGAGTTTTGAAAATGAGTCGAATACAAATTTTACATATTTTACAAATTTTACAGAAATGTCTTTTTTTACTTGGGTTACATAGCACTCTATTTGTAAGTTAAAAAATAAATTGGTTATTCTTTTTTATATACTAATCTTTGCTAACTTAATTACTAGCAACTGTAGCATATCAGGAACTCGTGGCTATTATTTCACATGATCAATTCAACTCTCTCAAGGTTCCACGAAATATATGTTCATTGAGACGATATCGTCTAAGACTACCTATTCTTCCAGTTCATCAGCATAAAGTTCGAATCAATATTCACAAATCATCTTCTACATCATCACTATTCAAGAATGCATATACATTATCCATTATTAATCACATACAACAAATTCTTAAAAATCCCAAACTTTTCTTACAAATGTATTTTGGCCCCAGGATTGAGGGAGAAGACAGAACAGAATTTTGGCATGGAAAAATTTGGTCTGAATCCCCTTTGTTTAGTGATGATATACTAAAAATCACATTTCCAGGTATTTTGTAATTAGGTTGCAGGGACTAGTAAAATTTTGGATCTTATTTTTATTGCAATCATAAAATCATATAAATAATATCCAAAATTTTGCCAGTCTCTGTTAATCGCTTGAAGTTAAAATTCAGTTAATACCATAATTCTCGACAGTTTCCCAACAAATAAATATATTGGTAAATATAAATTGATATATTTGATACAAATCTGGTTAATATTATATTTTAAAATTTTTTTCATTTATTTATAAAGAAAAAAATTATAGTTACTTGTTAAGAAAAAAATTAGGGATTTGGAACCGCTTGAAATTTTTATAATCGTTTAGCCATGTTAACCTTTAATTCAGTCGGCATTAAAATAATTATGATCTATAACCAACATAATTCTGCCAGGAACTATGGAACAATTCTTAAACTGTTAAACGGTTTCAATCTCTAAAAAAAGCTATGTAAGATCTAGCAAGGTTAAATTTAAAGACCATGCTGAAAGTCCAAAGTCGTAAGCTTGAATACAACAAAAGGTCGATGCATTAAGATACTTTTAGCAGTTAACTTTTAGTTAATCGGGTTTTATTTCAAATTAATCAGTTCACCAATCGGAAAATTAACTAGTTTATTTTTTTTCTCTTTTGATAGTCATTAAAGAGTGGTATTAATTAACAGAAATACCTAAAAGCCATTTAGCCAACATCACACAGGTGATAATTCACTATTAATATATCTGCAACTAATAAAATGCTGACCTTAACTCTATGTGATGTTGGTTAAATGGGCTGTAGATGAAAATGGGTGTCGAGAAAATATGAACATACCTAAATTTAACAAACTTTAACTTCAAGGGTTTATGCATTAATATTTTGTATCAAGTATCAATAAATAATATGTTTTTTAGGTCAAACTGTATCTAGCTATCGAACTGGCGATTTATCTCTTATAAAAGTCAGAAAAATCAATTACAAATTGGCTTCCTACATGCATTTGTTCAAGTTAATGGGAGTTTACAAGTAAAAATACAGCAACTCTGGAAATACTCCATGTTACTGGCATACTTACACTCATCCGAAAGGCTTTTAAAATCACAACGTGGGTGCTTATGGTTAGCTGATGTGTAATTTGTGATAATGCCAACAACACGAATTCAGGATCAAGTAAAAGTATGGTTTATGGATCAGCCTGAGCCCAAAGTATACAAGTATTTTGTAAATGAAATTGGTTACCAGCATAATCGATCATGGAAAATTCGTCCTATACAATATTGACACTGGCATCCAAGTGAATTTATAAAATTGCCTCCAATACCATCTAACCTTCGATGTTTACGAATTTTCATTGACTTATACTATAATAATTTTGGAACTTTTTAGAATGTTTATCATTCACTTGGTGGCGTTTATATCCAATTTGGAAATATGTCTTTTAGTCTACGAAAAATGTTAAAAACTATTTTCCTATAGGGTTTGTACCATTTGGCGCTAAATTTGCAGATTTTATAAAACCATTTATAACAGATATGCAACAGTTACAGAGTGGAATTCGAATGGTAATGCAATTTATATACAATGTTCAGCATGTATATTGTTGTTTTAAAATTATATAATGTTCTTATTAGTTTATATTTTAAAATTAGGCCAGAGCAATTTAGGGGTTGAACCCAGTGTATAAAATCAATATGCGCAATATGCTTATGCACATATTTTTGTGAAAAGTTATATATAAAATTTTAACTTGTGCATATATTTTGTAATTTAGATTTTATACACTGGTTGGAACTGCATAGCTGCAAAAAAATTTTTTTCGTAGTATCGGGTTGAATTATCTTAGTGCCAGATAAATCAAACGGTTAATACTGTTAAACGCTAAATAATTAGAAACTTTTATGCAGTTTCACCCCCTAGAGCAATTTAATTCCTTGTTTAACATAATCCCCTTTTAATTTTTAAAAATTTTCTGATACTTTATGTTATGTTAAGCAAAGAATCAATTTGAAGTGGCCTTAATTCTAAACATTCATATTAATAATTTTATATTTAAATTTCATATTATTAAAACTAACTACCTTTTTTTTAATTTTAAAGATTACTTACAGTGGGGAAGAGGTTTTTGTTAGAGGTGGTTTAGAGGTGGTTACTGCTGATTTGCCGCAGGGCAACGACCTTTGTGGGGTTAAATAACATAGAGCCAATCGTAGATATAGAAGTTGTGAAGCGGAAACACAAGAATTAACAGACTATAACTTTGATATTATGCGATATTCACGTTATCATCATATTACAGATATATAATTCTCTGAAATCCAGTTACAAGAAAACTTGGTAAGCAAAATGAGAGCTGCCAAAAAATATGGCATCTGTTTAAAAAAAAAAATTTTAGATCGACTATATCGTGATCGACATCAACAATGTCCTCAAGATCTCTACCATACAATGGCTGGAAAAGTAAAAAAACTAACAAAATGCACACTAGCTCTTTTTAATAATGAAGGAAATACTACGTTTATAAAAATATGGAAATCGATTGAATTGCCAAAGTTTTGGTCAAAATTGCCAAATCCTATTACCCACCAGAGGAGTTTTATGATGTCTGACTTATTTCATCTTGCAATGCTAATGCCTCATATCTTGTATCGTTTTCTAAGAATTCAACATATTAAGGAGGGCATTCTCACTGATCTAGTAAATACAATAGGGTATCAGCATCGAGATCAAGTAATCAATATAATCATAAAATGTTGGGTGTCTCTTTCTTATTCTGTAAAACAATCATTTGCTATTAAGTATTCCGATAATCATTTTGAAACTCTGTCCAAGGCATTGCAAAAAGAACACTACTATCTAACAAAGGTATCTATTAAAACATTTATTTTAAATTGATAGAATGTAAAATCAATGTCACAGTCACATGAAAACTTGAAAACAAAATTTTTTATTTTGATATTTGGGGTACTAATGCTGTGGAATATCAGAAACCTACTGGTCAGTGTAATCACATTATCAACTATGTAGAGAAGGCAAGTTCGGAATGTATGACAGGTTATGCTAATTGATCATCATCGCCAAAATTAAATTTTAATCATTAGCGTCAGATTGGAAGGAGTTAGAAAAGGGATTTAGCCAAAACATAAACCAAAAATATGAATAGAATTTTTTTCTTAGAGCACCAAGAGCAGATTCATAGGGAAAATTTTGAAATACAAAAAAAAATTTTCTTAATTTTGTTGACCAACCTGTCACATATTCAGGACTTGCGTAGAGAAGATTTGAGGGGTTGGAACTGCCTAAAATTTTTATAATCATTTAGCTGTTGAATGTTAAATTAGAATTATTCTGGCCCACGACCAACATAATTTTGTCAGAATAATGAAACAGTTTTTAAATGATTAAATGGTTCTAATCCCTATTCAAAAGTTTGGGATTTTTTCGAAAATTCCATGTGTTGACTTTTCATGGATCTATTATAACTATTTTTAGGTATTCCCAGAATCCTTTCTCAATCTTCCAAATCTCCATATCAATATACACCTAATTGCAAATGCCAATAATTATGGAAATTTGGTCAATACTGCTTGTGGTGTCAAAGAGGCTATGCATGGTTTATTCAAATCTTTTGTTCCACATACAAACAAAATGAATATTGATCTTGATCTTTTAAGATATTACAATATACTTCAAGCATTACGTTTTTGGCTTGACGGTAGGCAAGACGAACGTGTTCCAAACTCACGATATAATCCAAATTGTTCTTTGTTAAAACAATTGCTCTCCAAATGGTATATTACAAAATCACCTGATCTAATTGATGATTCAGAATTTAAAAATGTCGAAGTAAATGGTAATTTCGATCTGTCTAAAGCGTCTTATTTGATTTGCTAAAAATTTACTACAGTAAACTCTCCCTAAGTGCAAGTCAATAAAAATATCTTGCATTTAGAGAGAATTTCAATTAAAGAAAAACTAAATTAATTCTCTCTAAATGCAAGTTAATAAGTTGAAAAAAATATCCTGTGCTTAGGAAAAAAACTTGTAATTAAGTAAATAGAAAGAATAATTTTGTATATCCTGGCTAAAAAAAAATCTGAAATCTGGTTCCGTTCATTTTCACCGACAGTACGATTCACTGAAATTCAATTCACTGACAAGTTCATTTCACCAACAGTATGATTCACCAATAGTCATTTCACCAACAAAGAAACTCTGGTCATTGTCGTTAGGGTCAGACTAGAATTAGAGTTAAAATTAGTGGAATTTATAAAAAAACTTGTCAGTGAAACTTACTGTCGATGAATCGTACTATCGGCGAAATAAACTTGCCAATGAATTGAATGTCAGTGAATTATACTGTCGGTGAGTTGATTTTCAGTGAAATGAACTGAATCCAAAAAATCTTGCATTTATAAATTAAAAAACTTGCATTTGTTTTATAAGTCTCGATAAAAGACAGCCATTTTGGGTTCTACCCTGAAATCTAGAAAATCAAAATCCTGAAACTTAATTGTCACGATATGTGATAACATCTTATGATTATAACAATAATAATAACGATTACTAACCGGTTAAATATTATCATGCGACGCGACAACTAAGTTTCAGGAGTTTGATTTTTGGGATTTCAGAGTAGAACTGCCATTTTGTTGCATTTAGAAAGAATTTGTACTTAGAGAACATGCACTTGACTGTATCAAGAACTTATTAGTAACTCTGTTGAAAGAATATTATGTATACTAGATTTAATATTAATTACACTATATCATGCTTAATTTTATTTTGTATTAAAGATATGATTTATTGCAACGATCACTGTTTTATAAAAATTCGTACTCAGAAGCCTTGAA